TATTGAAGTTTGTTTTTTTCAAGAGCTATTTTTAAATTTTTTAAGTGATTTGGTTGATTCTTCATAAGAATACAAAGACTTCTGGCTTGCCATAGATAAACTTTACGAAACACTCTACAAAAGTGAAAATAACTCTTGAAAGAGCAGGTAATGAGAGTGTTGTATTTAGACACCCCCATTTCTACAGAAATGTTAAAGTGGCCATTGGAATTCACTCCATCTGGTGGCACTTCAAAAGGAAGAACCGAATAGTTGGATGATGACTGTAAGAACACACCCAAGATCATGATGTTTCTCTTACCTCCTCTGATGTTTTTTGTTTTGGTTTATTTTATTTTGTCTTGTTTTTAAGAGAGCCCATCTGCTTGACTAGAGATGGACTAGTTAGTGTTTCGGGTACTGGCATCTAAGGGGAAGCATCACAGATGTAAAGATTCTGCAGGACATACTCATTGTGGCCGAGATTTCATCACTTTATGCTCATCTATAAACGAGCTGCCCCACCATTCCCTGGCCTAGCAGCCCTTAGACTAAGCCCTGATATTCTTGTTCCCTCATGTCTTGGATTCCTATCCCAATAAAGGATGCTCGACATCTATTTGACATAAGAGACCCGGTGGGTTCTTCCTTTGTAAAGGTGAATTGCCCAAATGGAACGAAAGGCTCCTCTCAGAAACCGTGATACCAGGGGATGAAAAGAGCCTTTCATGTTCAGAACTGGTGCATTACAGAAGCAGGCGAGATCTGGAGAAGCCGAGGAGGAAAGCGAGAACACAGAAAGAGCCGCCCGCAGTGGCTTTTTCTCCTTGTAAAAGAAAAATAATCATCTGGCTTTGAATTTCTTTTTCTTTATAGACTATAAAGAATGTATGAATGAGCAAACATAATCTGACAAGGATTTTCTAGTTGAAATTGTCATGATCTAAGAGTTCTTCATAAAAAAAAAAAAAAATCAAAGACTTCCTAATAAACCTCCTTTTCTCTGACCATTTCCTCAGGGGCCTCACTGAGCATTTCTGTTACTTTTATTTCTCAGTCAGCAACAGTGCGACTCTGAACTTCTGTAGGCTTCAGAGTCTCCATCCTTCATGTTCATGTGGGAACCCCACTGCTCTGGACTGGAGTTAAATTGGTATACAACTGGTTTTGGTATTAGATGGCTTAGTTACAGTTTCCCCTAAGCCGTTTTGTAAAACGGAGGTAACCAGCTTGGGCATGTGTGTATGTTTTGAGCTGCTCGTTTCATGAGAACTTTAGGAGTTTCCTCGTGTTTAAATTTCTAGTATTTTGATCTTACATTTACATATTTTGATGTCTTGGAGCTAGATGAGAGAAAAAATAGGTTCCTTTTTTTCTGGTAGAAGCTAAGAAGAGTTATTTTACCCCCGTTTCCTTGACATTAAGGTATGAGGTTGTGTTCACTGTTCGTGACATCTGGCGATGCTGTGGTGGACGCTGCGTCCACACCCGGCGCTGAGGAATGGGGAGGTGCAGGAGCTACACTGAGGCGCTGTCCCTTCCCTCGGACACCAGGCCTGGGGGACCAGGAGGGGGGCACACAGGGCAGGGAGGGCTCTGTGTGATGAGAGCTCCTTCCTGCCTAGCAGTCCTCGGCAGCACCTGGGGACAATAAGACATGCCAGTACTTTTCTTGTCTCTTCCAGGGGCGGCCTATTGCCAGTTCATGGACATGCTCTTTCCAGGCTGCATCAGTTTGAAGAAAGTAAAATTTCAAGCCAAGTTGGAACATGAGTATATTCACAATTTTAAACTTCTGCAAGCATCATTTAAGCGAATGAATGTTGATAAGGTAGGAGACTAACGTGTACCTTCATTAAATGCATTTTCTTTCCTTAAAATTGTTTTTGTGCAGAAATGTAAAAAATAAAAATATATATCAGTGGGATATATCTTGCTATCTCAGCAATAGGATGAGGTCTGTACAAAGCATAGGGCATCAACCCTAACTTCCCTTATTTGTATGAGTTTTTTATTTAATGATATTTCTAAACTGGTAGCCATTAGACTAAAAATCCTAACAGGAATTACAAATGTCACAATGTTGTTATTCTGCCTTAGCTTTGCAAATAACAAAGTTTTACATTTGCCGATGCCGCTGAGATTCTTTGTATATTTTGTTCCTTTAGAGAAACAGCAGGTTACAGTGGAAGCAACATGGGTTTGAATCCCAGCTCCATTAGTTGAGCAAGTTATTTAAATTCTTTGAGTCTTAGTTTACCCATCTATAAAATAGGACTAAAACCCCCTTCCCTGTGGTTATATGAAGTTAAAGTGAGGGAATATGGGTGAAAATGTTCAGCACAGTATATACACTCAGATTCTCAGAAAGTGTCCATAAATTATCCTTTTTTTTCCCTTTTGAATTTTATAATTTTGTCCTGGAATGATACAAATGGAGTTAGACTGGAACCCTACCCTCCCCAAATAAAGGACTATTTCTAAAGTCCACGCAATCAGCACGTTTCCTGCTATTCATATACATATGCAGCTCATATTGTTTCTTTAGGATATATCTCTTAGAGGGGATAGGCTTGGAAAGAAACTAATTTTGAATAAAGGAAATAAACCAGCAGGGGAGAAATGGAAAAGATAATAGCAATAGATAGGCTATGGAAATAAAAAATAAAGTCCTTGGGTCACTAAGAAATAGAGGTTAAATAAAGAAAAAGAGAAAAGTTTGGCAAACTGTATATATTTTCAATTTAATGCAATTAATACCTTTCTAAATCAAAATGTTCTTATCAAACTATTAATCTTGGTTTCTCATTTTCTCAGAATTTTTATTTCAAAACATATTCTCTTTAACATCTTAACCTTTGGAATTCTTTTCAGCTTTATTTTTATGTTCTTTGCTGTGGTTAATTTCCAGTTAGCTCCTTCAAAACCAGAGCTGTACAGGTTCTCCTTACTTATTAGCAACATCATTAATGTCTTTTTCATTCATTTTTCAACACATGCTTCTAGTCTGAGAAAAGGAATGCCCTTTTATAGGTTTATTGATGGAACGTGCTATATAACAAATTAGGAGCTCCATCTCTCTAGAAATATACACATACAGAGTAGATGAGCCATTGTTAAGAATATTGGAGATAAAATTCTTGTAGTAGAGGACAATTGGCCTTGGTGGCCTTCACTGGCCTCTCTAGCTTAATGTGCTGTGATTCTACCCAAAGGTCCTTGGAGAGAGACAGTGGTCCCTGTGCATGTTTGTCAGAGCCTGACAGCATGCAGAGGCTTCTGTGCAAAGATTTACTTGCCACCTGAGATTGTGTACTTATTCCTGGAACTTTCATTTTGATAGGGAATGCAAAATTAAGTCATTGGAAGTAAATGCCTACTTTGAATGGCTAGTTTGGCGCCATCATCTAAATCTGTTTACAAATTTTCATGTTTGGCAGAAAGCAAAATATATAGCATGTTAATTAAAGGGCCTTATGCCCAAAGAAGGCACTTTCTTAATATCAGCATAAACAAAACCTCTAAATCAGAAGACATGAAAATATCTAAATACAGTGGTACCTCAGTTTTTTAATGTAATCCGTTCTGGAAGACTGTTCGGGAACCGAGGGATCAACAGCCTACAGCTAGGTCTCAGGATCTTGCCCTCAGCGGAAGCCATGTGGTGTGTTTGACTTCCGAGGCATGTTCGAAAACCGAAGCATTTACTTCTGGGCTTACAGCGTTCATAAACCAAAATGTTCGTCAATGGAAATGTTCGAAAACCGAGGTACCACTGTAGTACAATAAAAAGTCAAGTAAGTGCACGTGTGGAATGAGTTCTTCCGTTGGGCAGGCTTCCCTGAAGTTTAGGAGGAATGAAAGGAGAAAAGATATCAGCATGTGAGTCTCCAGTCTTCATGAAAATTGTGGTCTCCTCTAAAAGTTTGCTTCTCTTTATTTTGTTATGCACTTGACTTAGTTTCAATTTTAGCTGCATAAAAATCCTTTTTGAAAATTTTTATTGCTAATAATTTAGTTTAATGGATGGCAATGGTATATATCTCCCAACGTGGCAAAGTCATGCTGAAAATTTATACAGTTCCCATCCATGTCATTACACAGTGGCGCTGTGTTCTTTGAGCACTGGGTTTCTGTCTGAATCTTACACTCACGCACAGGTGCATACACACAATCTAACTTACTCCCTAACTTTGTAAGTCCTATGGCTCACATTCAACTAGTTTTCCAACCCAAAGATGAGGGAGTAAGAATCTGGTAATGGGGCAGTTTGGATAGCTAGGCACCTTCCCATTTTCCTTCAAAAATAGCTGCCCACTGAATTAAAGCTAAGCAGTCACACCACATATTTTCCTGACATAAAATGAAGGTTCCTGTAGGACCTCTGAAGGAATACTGATTAGTTGTTTAGGTTGCCAATAGGAAAGAAAAAGCTGAGATTCGTCTTAGAAGTTGAGGTGAATGCTGTGCACCTCCTCCCTCAGAGTCCCTCCAGTGACTCCCCTAATCAGCCTCCAGTTCTTTTCCTCTGCACTCCCACGGCATGCCAGCTGTGCTCTTGTACCCCAAGAATTACTGGGCCCTGCATTAGGTGGTTGTCTTGGTGCTTCTCTCTCTACATTGTTAATAAGCCCTGTGAAAGCTCATTTTAAACCATAAGATGGATATATATTTGCATTGATTTTATTCTCATATATTCACATTCTCTAGTAGCTGTAATCCTTTTAAGAGTTTATTCCAACACAACTGGACCAAGTGCTACAAAGAAATAAGGAAAACCCATTAGTCTTGAAATAGCACAATATCCCAGGCCTGTGTTTTGGGGGGAGATGCTTTGGCAATAAACATACTGTAATGAGGATCAGCCCCTCTTGACAGCTAAGGGTATTCCTTGTTTTGTCAGGTTGTTCAGAAGTATTAAATGTTCGTAGGAAACCAACTACATACAGCATTTTAGTTTATTTTTTTCAATGTGATGAAAAATGATAAGAATTCTAGAATACGGCTGGCTAAGAAGCTAGGGGAGAGACCAGTAGTTGTGAATTGCAGACACGTGGGAAATAGTTATATTTAGGTGCCACTTCAGTTGTATTAAATACAAACAAACCCTAGGCTAGTGACTCACACAGTGATTTTATATTGCAGGTAATTCCAGTGGAGAAGCTAGTGAAAGGACGTTTCCAGGACAACCTGGATTTTATTCAGTGGTTTAAGAAATTCTACGACGCTAACTACGATGGAAAGGAGTATGACCCTGTAGAAGCACGACAAGGGCAAGATGCAATTCCTCCCCCTGACCCTGGTGAACAGATCTTCAACCTGCCAAAAAAGTCTCACCATGCGAACTCCCCCACAGCAGGTATCGTCACTTTCATTTTCGAAAATGGCTCAGGCCCCCCTGTGCTTTATGTGTTTCATTGATTCTTCCAAGCAGTCAGTATCCTAATGCCTCTGGACGGTTTTATTGTTGTCTGACCACATTTCTCTTCCTCCCACTGAACTCTCTGTTGTGAGTCTAACGATCATGATTTAGCTATTACAAAGGCAGAGCTGTTCACTTTAAGTCGCCGAAGCTGTATGTTAAATACTTCAGAGATAGATTGCGTTTTCCTTGTATTTTTTTCCTGAGAAATTTCAAGTAGTCTGTTTAGATTTTGACTGAAATATTTTTACTGCTTACTTGCTGGCACTGCATACCAGAATATGAACTGATTTGTGCTTTTAAGTATAAATCATCTATAATCCTTCAAAGGAAATTCATGAAATCTACCTCCTATCTCCTATAAGGGGCCATTTTTATGTGATGATATTCAGCAAGACTCATTTACCCAGCTTTGTCCAAAAGTGAAGTCATTTAGGATAAATACCTGGAACTTCAAAGTTTTTAAAACTTTTGTGGATAAAAATCTTTCTAAAATATATTATAAACATCCTTGCTCTAAGAAGCAGACTTTACCAAGCAGAGTGTTCTTTTAAAATTAGGGTCATTATTATAAACATGAGTTCTGGTACTGGACAGTTAAACAACGAAATCCTCGAAACCATTTGTATTCCAAAAAACTGTTCACACTTGTTAAGTCAGTAACCTTAATTTTGTAAATAATACAGATTCCTTATTTATGCTGAACCTCCAGTCAGGATGGATTAGAAATGGTTATGACAGTACTAATATTAGACAATGCATGCACTTGTCTGGAACTCAAGGAAGTGTAGGCTAGAGGTAAACATTTGTGGGTGAAGCTGGAAGTGAGTACCGAGTGAAAAGGGGTGAGTGCCATGAGAAACTCTAAATTAACATTTGGGCAGAAAAGGAAGGGCTTGCGTAGGAGCAGGGAAGATGCCAGAAGATGGAAGGAAATGGGGGAATGACATGTCAGGGAAGCAGAAGGAAGGGAGCAGAATGGTCAGCAGCACCTAAATCTACTGCAGAGTCAAGTAAAATGAAGACTGGGGAAGTCCACTGGGTTTCTCAACTTGGGCATCAGTCAGTGGAATGATGGGACCAGGAGAGGGTTGAAGAATTAGAGGAAGGAAATGGAGATGGCATAAAAAGCCAACTTTGAGGCCATAGGGAGAATGAACTTATATAAAATAAACTAAGCACAGATCTTCGGGAATACATACATTTTAGAGACGAGAAAAAAGAGGAAGCTGAGAAAGAGATGAACATCGGGGGAAACACCAGGCAAGCTCAGCAGCAGAGAGCAAACAGTAGGGAATTTCTAGAAGGAGCGATCACCAACACTGCCTAATATTAATTGTAGAGAGACCAAATAGGATGAGGCCTGAAAATAGGCCAAAGAAATCTGACTCCTAGTAGGTGATTAGTAATCCTTTAGAAAATCGGTCTGTTACAGGAAGTCCGATTGGAAGGAGAACAGTAATGTCCTGGGTCTGGTTTCGTTTGCTTTTAGGACAAGGCACAATGAGCAGGTTTGTAAGATGGGAGAAAGGTCCATGGAGATGGAATAATTGAAAATAGGAAAAAGGAAGGGAAATTGGTGGAGTGTGACCCTGAAATTGGAGGGAGAAAATGAGGTCCAGGGCATCCGTAGAGGTTTAACGAGGAAAGGGAATATTTATTTTTTTGAAACAAGTACTGGGGAGAGGTTGGGTACAAATTAAGCCACAAGGAGTTTGGGAAACAAAAATGTATGGGGGTTCAAATTGGCCTTCAACTTTTGTCAGAAACTTTCGTCAGTCCAGGAGCTAGGAAAGAGGGGGGGGGTGTTTTCTCCAGTTAGGGATTCAGCAGGCAGGTGGAGTGGGAGGACCAGGTGAGAAAACAAAGGTGGCTGGTATTTCTCATCAGAAGGTCTTCTGTCGCTGTTAATGATACACAGATTCACCTTGAAACTTAGCTGCCACTTTTTCACGTTTTAAGTAGTGAAATTGGACAGGCCCCAGAATATTTGTCTTCCACAATCATAATGTGTCCTTAAATTGGCACCAGCCCTTCTACTCCTTCAAACAGAGCTGTCATTAGGCTGCCTCCGCTTCATTTTCTAGGAATTCCCTCGTCTGTCTTTCACAGAAGCCACAGAGAAACTTGTGCCATTTTGATAGAAAGAATATCCATGAACCTGAAAGAGACATATATTTTTTCCAGAGCTTAAAGCTCAGGAAACTCATTAACGTCAACAGATTATAAATCTGGCTTTTAATGTTCCAGAAGGCAGTATTCCTGAGACATGGGTTCCTGATACCTTGGCCATGGTTAATTAGGGAGAAAGGATATTTTCAGAAGCCAGATCAGTCAGACCCTTTTTGATAAAATATGTTGTGACTCTTGGACATTGTGGGGCAGTAAAACTATGGAAAAAATTACAGGAAGGTATACATCACATGCAGAACATTTTTTTAAAAGCCATACTAGAAGGGTCATGTAAGTACAGTAAGGCTCTCATTTTTCTAAAGGTCATATATCCAGCTCTCGGGGATACAGTCAAAAAAATGTAAGCCAAGAGTCAGAATAGGTGTAAAATCTGGTATGAATTCATGCACTTTCCTCTTTACACACAAGAGAGTTCCTAGGATATTTATCCAGAGTCTGTTTGCTCTTAATTTACACATAATTATAACAAACATGGGGATATGGTTTCTCAGTACATAACTTACTGGGGCAAGGAGTACACTGATATCAATAAAGAGTACAAGCATTAGTAAAAAAAAAAAAAAAGAGCCAAAAATACTTACCAAACCCTACTCAACAGCCCCAAAGCCTGAGATCTTTATTACAGAAGCTGATAGCTCCATACATCTCAGTAGCCCTCAGGGTCTGTGTGACACCAGCATACGCTCATCCACACCCTCAGAGTCCCTTCCAAGTCCTAAGATTCTCTTTAATTTTCTATTTATAATCATCTCCCCCATGAACTACTTTAGTCCCTAAACTGGTCTCCCTTCCTCTGGTCTGAAACCATTCAAGGACCTCTTCTTCATACAGAACTCAGATTTTGTCCATCCCAAGTTTAAGACAAATGAAAGTGATTGATGAGGGTGAGGGTCAGCTGTGTGGGAAATTCAGCTCTGTACCACAGTATCTCACAGTGATGCCGGGTCAGTAGCATTCAGCAGTAATTTCTGTTCCCACCTCTAAGCTTGGTCATTTCTTAATTATCTGCATTAGTGGAAACAAGCAATGGTTGGTATAATCAAACACAGGGGATGAGATAGTCTTTAATTATCATTTTCATTTTGGTTTTAGAATGTTTGATTAATTTTGCAGTGGGTTTATCTCTCCCCGAATATATCCTTAGATTAATATTAAAATTAACTTTCATGTCCTGACAATCATACCTTAAGAACAGTAAGTGGAAGCTCCGGAGCGTCTTGTGGCAAAGGGACTGACTGTATTAGAATGGGAAAGTGATCGTGGAATGGATTATCCGCATGCTGATGATTAAGAAAGGACTGCCTGCATTGGCAAGGAAATATTTTTCACGTCATACAGACTACTTATATAGCCATGTACCATAGGTTGTTTGCTTGTGTATAAAATGGTTGCACTCCACATGGTTGGTGCATTCTGTTTTTGTGAGAATGTGCTAGATTTTTCTGCCATTTCAGTACAGACACAAGATGTTCTATGGATTCAGAGAAACCATAGAGCCCATTAGTGTCTGCACGTAGTTGGGTGACTTACCTGGACTGGACAAGCTTTGGCATAAGTAGAGGCTGTCATGTAAGAGTGGATAGCTGCCTGGCAAGTCTTGTTCTAGCTCCATTTGGAGGAATTGCATCTTGAATTGTTTTTGATCTACCAACAAAATGCATGTATAAAAATATACATTTTCATAATGTTAGCTGTCTTTTAAGTGCATATATCATCATGAGTCATGGTGGTCGTAAGTTTATTGCTATGAGCCATATCTGCAACTTAAGATAGCTGTTGGGGGATCAGATTTTATGTGCGAGCACTTACTAAACTTAAAAGGCAGTTTGAAGGTGCAGTTCCTATAGCAACCACAGCTTTGACACGTTGCAAATTCACATATATTAATGTATTTAAATCATACTCCCATATACAAATATAGTATGATGGATTTAGAGTTGCCATAGAAATTGAGTCTAAGCTTTCAATTTTCCTTAGGGACTACAGTGTTCTTGACTTAAAATCAGATTAATAGGAATACTAGAAAATAGTTTCAAAGAGGAAGCAACCTAAGAAGTGTAATAGAATAAAGTACTTGAACAATCATAATTAAAGTCATAAATATAGATTAAAATAAATCCATTTTTCAAAAACCGTATTGAATATTTGAATACTTTCATTCTCAATTATCATTACTTTGAGGTTCCCTGAGGCTGTTCATACAACCTGAACAAGGTGACCAAGTTTATTCATTTCTTTGTTCAGCAGTATTTGGGCATTCGTTGAGCACCTGTAATCAAAGTGAGCATCGCCTGTCACCCTCTATGGAAAGAAGAGTTGCTTTTACTTTCCCAAAAAGGTTTTGTGTTGTTTTTTAGAAGAGGCTGTGAAATATAGCAGTTTATAGTGGTTTTTCTCCTTGTTTTGATCTTGATTTTTTTATGGCCTAGAATATCTTTCTTAGTCAACATACATGTTCTTAAAAATATGTATTCTGCTGTTGTTGGTTGCGTAGTATTTTAGAAATATCAATTAGATCACGGTAGTGGATAGTGTTACTCAGATCCTCTGTGTTTTCACTAATCTTTTTGTTGTCTGGTTCTGACAGTTGTTGCAAAGAGGGTGTTAGCATTGATTGTGGAATTGTCTGTTTCTCCCTTAATGCTCTCAATTTGCTTCCTGTATTTAAGGCTCTGTTTTTAGGTGCGTACATATTTATGATTATTAAGTCATTCTGTTGAATTGGCCTTCGCATTTTATGGTGT